TACGTATTTTGGAAATGTTGAGTCGAATTAGTCTAGAATCGATTAATTTTATGAAAGAAAACCTTTCAAACAGCCGTAGTCCGTAAACTATGATTCCTACAAAATTGATTCATAAAGAACGGAACGTATCTACCGTCTTATAGGGAGATCTACTGTAATTATTGTTCCACTTATATGATACCATTATCTTCAATTACTGATATTAATTCAAATCTTTAATTAAGAATTAAAGTCTTAAAATTAAAAAAAATTATTGCATTTATAGCTTCACATATTGATTTAATGTGATAAGAATTAACATATCATATCTTTCAACAAATCTAGTACCAAATTGTATGTTGTGTTTATTTTAATATTAGTGAACTCCCATATAGCATGAATTTGTACATGACAAAAAAATTGCGACCAGTATTCGTACAAAATTCTAATCTTGTCATCCAAAAGTATACGTTTTCTTTTTCAACTACTAGGCATAGGTTTAAACTTGCATAAAATCATCTGATAGTACTGTACATGTTTCAGTAATGCTATTTCCTATAACACAATGTATTTCCAAGTTGTATGGGACTCTACTGTATTTTAAATTTTTAATTATACTTAAAAATTACTTTCATGTTTAGTAAAATAAATAAAAAGTATTTTATAAGAATCATATTTACTTTTTAATATTGTGAAATTTATATTGAAATTAACAAGACAATGAAAGGATCAGTTTACAACTAAAAAGTTAACCATTCAATATTTTGCACAGGTAATTTTAGTGTAACTTATTCATGACCGATAACTTCACAAAATCAGATGTTATACCTACCAGTACTCTAGTTATTTAATTTGTGAATTTATCAGTTTTTTCATCATTTAGTCACACTCAAACAATATCCTTTGCTCTATTAGGTTTGCAAGATAATAATTAATTTATAGAATTAAAAATTCTTAATATAATTTAACTAGCCTTTAATCTGTTTATATTTAGTAGATTATACTTATAAGGCAACAATGATTTCAATTGTGTGATAACCCTTCAAGAGAATTATGTATTATGTATCTGTAGAAAGTACAGTATAATGTATTTATTTAATATATTAGGTCCTCAATTTTTAAAAATTTTTAATATATATTCAATAATTTACATTTTATAACTTTTATATTAATTAGCCTTTAATCCCTTTTTTAATATATAATAAAATATACAAATACGTAGTACTGTACATAATTTTAATGAAGGGTGATCATACACTTGAAACATTTAATGCCTTATCTCTAAAAATTTTTTGTCTTATATTTAAATGAGGATTACCTAACTGATGAGGGCCATTAACACTAGGGACCAAAATATATTTTAGGAGGCATATAAGACATTAAATTTTTCAAGTGTATGTAGTTCACCCTTCATTAAAATTATGTAGTACATATTTTTATAAGCATATTGTATTATATTTCACAACTTTTATTCTAGTAGAGTATCATGTTTCAGAAATTTGTCCTTCGAGACTTTTCTATTTAGTTGTAAAAATAAGTAAATATGATTTTTAATGTGTATAAATATGTTTGTTAATTACAAAAATTGGTCTTTTAATTTTTTAAGAAACAATTAACTCACTTCTTAAAAATTATTATTTAAATTTACCAGATAGTATATTAATATAAAAGAATGGTGATTTTTATAAAGAAAACAAAAAATTTGTATTTTGTGTATTGTTTATCTCTTATTTTGTTGTACAGATGTCCGGCACCCTGTTAGCCCAGTGGACTGTCATCCAGTTGTCTGTCACCCAGTTGATGGTGTCCCTGGTAACACGTGAAGCTGTGCATTGTAAACAACACTTTATCTGAGTGTGTTGAAAACATTTTGAACATGAGTACTGATGACTGTTGTAGTGTAATGTACAAGAATTCCATACTCACACTAGTATCAACCTGGCTTTCACACAGACAGATAAATTATTAGTAATATGCCTAACTCGATTACTTGTATATTAGTATATTTCCAAGCATATATAATTTTTGTAAACCATGTATTTCCATTTTTTTACCGGATGCTTACCCCCTGGTGTTTAAAAACAAAAGTATTTTATCTGGGTTGTTTTATTGTCCTTGTGTATTGTCAGGAGTAAAGATAAATAGCAATAGGAAAAGCAAAGCTTTTGAATTGAATTCCAAATTGATATTCCACAATCACACGGAAGCCTGAAATAAGTTTTAATCCATTCCCATGTGCAAATGGATGATTATTCAGAAATCAGAATTTGGAAAAACTCATAAGTGTAATCAATGGAGAGTGGATTCAACTGTTAAGAATTGGCAAAAATGGTTCCCGATTGTCTGGCTTTACATGAACAAATTATGTCAATTTTTACAAGAATTTTCCTTACAGTTTAAAATGCCAGTAATTTTTGTGGGATAATGTATGCATTTGATATTTTATTTGTGATTAAATGAAATAAAATTAGAATTGTATTAATAAATATAATTTTCTTTATTTTGATCTTTAAAGTCACACCTCATCCTATATGTGAGATTGTCTTTTACATGTAAATTAATCTGGACTTTCTTGCCTACTCTGATAAATGTTTGGTGGTTCTTAAAAAGAAAAGCAAAAATTACCATTGTATGGAGTGTGTGCCCATGTTGTTTCACGACTTTCTCCAAATGTTTCTAATTTATACTAAAAAATAAAAACTAAAATAAATATATATAAAAAAATAAATAGTTAAAAATAATATATAAATATCAGTTCATTAATAAATAAAATTCCAGAAAATTTCCAAGAAAAATATTAAATGAGAAAAATAAAAAACAAAGTAATTAGAATAATAAGTAAAAAATCACTACAATACCAAAATCTAGCAGAAAAAAGGGAAGAACAGTTTAATAAAATTGTTCTTCCCTTTTTTCTGCTGTATTTTGATATTGTAGTGATTTCTTATTAAATAATAAGATTTAAGATAAATTTCATTACTTAATATTTTATAATTAAATTTAAACTTTAATGTAAATAAGTGCAACAAACATAAATAAAATATTACCATTTGTTGCATACCAGAAGAAATAAATTGAATTAAATATAGCAATTTTAATAAATTTTATTATTATTTCCTATAAGAATTTTACATATTATATTAAACAATAAATTAATACAAATTTACATACTAAGTAAATTATTTTGCTGCTTTCATAGTAGTAAAATTTCTTTTATTGATTATGTAGTATTTCTTCCACATTTTACAATATTTATATACAGTAGAGTCCCGTACGACATGCAAATAAAGTAAGCAACACCCTCAGATTTTGTCGATCAGAGGTATACATTTTTCTTCAACTTATAGGCCAAGGTTTAAACTTTCATAAATCGTGTGATAATGAAGATTTTGCTAACGCAATTTCCTATAATGCATAACAAATCCCCTGTGTTGTATGGGACTCTACTGTATTTTAAATTTTTAATTATACTTAAAAATTACTTTCATGTTTAGTAAAATAAATAAAAAGTATTTTATAAGAATCATATTTACTTTTTAATATTGTGAAATTTATATTGAAATTAACAAGACAATGAAAGGATCAGTTTACAACTAAAAAGTTAACCATTCAATATTTTGCACAGGTAATTTTAGTGTAACTTATTCATGACCGATAACTTCACAAAATCAGATGTTATACCTACCAGTACTCTAGTTATTTAATTTGTGAATTTATCAGTTTTTTCATCATTTAGTCACACTCAAACAATATCCTTTGCTCTATTAGGTTTGCAAGATAATAATTAATTTATAGAATTAAAAATTCTTAATATAATTTAACTAGCCTTTAATCTGTTTATATTTAGTAGATTATACTTATAAGGCAACAATGATTTCAATTGTGTGATAACCCTTCAAGAGAATTATGTATTATGTATCTGTAGAAAGTACAGTATAATGTATTTATTTAATATATTAGGTCCTCAATTTTTAAAAATTTTTAATATATATTCAATAATTTACATTTTATAACTTTTATATTAATTAGCCTTTAATCCCTTTTTTAATATATAATAAAATATACAAATACGTAGTACTGTACATAATTTTAATGAAGGGTGATCATACACTTGAAACATTTAATGCCTTATCTCTAAAAATTTTTTGTCTTATATTTAAATGAGGATTACCTAACTGATGAGGGCCATTAACACTAGGGACCAAAATATATTTTAGGAGGCATATAAGACATTAAATTTTTCAAGTGTATGTAGTTCACCCTTCATTAAAATTATGTAGTACATATTTTTATAAGCATATTGTATTATATTTCACAACTTTTATTCTAGTAGAGTATCATGTTTCAGAAATTTGAGATAATTTATGAAATTTGTTTATGAAAATATTCAGTTCTGTAATATATAATCATATAGTATGAAGGAATTAAATACAAAATAATTTTACACATATAAAATATTTTAAAATTACTCACATGAAATGCACTTGACATTGTGATATCTCTAATAACCATATTTTTAGCTGGATCACTTCCATAACAACAATGTTGAGAAACATGTTCAATAAGTGCTTCTCGAACTTCTTCCTCTGTTAATCCTACTCTTCTATAATAATATAATTCAGTTTCATTGTATTAAATTCTTAAATGATCAAAATCTATAATATAATAGTAAGACTTCTCCTAAATGTGATCTGAAGAGGCCTTTGCAATTTCCTTAAATATGTCAATGCCTCATTGTAAATAATAGGTATAAATTTCCTCACTAGTTGTTGGGCGAATCCTGACCAAAATTTTTGGGCATGCTGAAAGTTATGATAAGAATAATAGGCCTATCTCTAGCATTAAACAATATGCAGTAACGTTATTTGGTGTGAATGAAAAAAGTATAAAGTCCATTATATCTACACATGAAATACTTACGTGAAATATATTATAATGAAAAAGTATTAAAAATTTATGATAATAATTCAAATTTTATGGGTCCTTGACACTGAGGGCCCAGGGCTTAAACCCTATTAGTCCCTATGTAGATCCGCTCCTGTACACAATACATGTATGCTGACTGGGTAAGCAAGCTTTCGATACAATCTGGCTGTGTTAAATGCTTTGAATGATGTCTTGCGCACACTTGTTTGCTGTGGCAAACCTCCACATGAGCAAGGATCAAGTTCCCGCAAGCATCGCACTGACTTAAAATGGCTGCAGATAGCTGTCAATGTAAAAGCAAACACAAATGATAAAAGAGTTTTACATGTTGTAATAAATTATTATTGGCATATTTGTTCTCATATAGAAAATATATTGACAGTCAAAACTTTCTCTTAAGCATGCAGTGCATGCTAAGCAAACTAGAGAATTTTTCCTTGCTGGGTTGTTGACATGGAGTTCTGGTGCTTTGTATTCATTGTGCAAAGTCTCCTATGAAAAACCACGTTGCACTACAAGTGTAGAAATGTAATGTAATAATGAACACAGAACCAATTACCCGGGGTAAAGAAAACAAAAAACGGTCTCTGCACAAACATTTTCTAACTCTTTCTGAGTTCTTCTTCAGATGTGACAACAGCAAAGCCTCCTATGAAACCTATGAAGCCTCCTAGAATAGAAATAGAATGTCATTTGGAAGAACTCAGGAGTTCTTCCAAATGACATTCTATTTCTGTCTTGCAGTGTTGTGGAGTGGATAAAGGCCTCTATACCAAAGATCAAAAAGCAAAAGTCTTGTATGTCCAGGGATCATATGAATGATGCATTATAAACAGACAAATATGCATCCTTATAGTATATCTTGGTTGTTAGCACCTATTATCTACTTAACAAGTATATCAAGAAAGTGGACCAGGCATGAGCTATATGTTGTTTCACCTTTAAGGAAGGACTGTATGGGTGATTGTTAAGGCAGTCTAGGAAGTTTTTCAGTGCAGGATTGACCTTCCAGATGATGATGTCATCAACATATCTACTGTTAAAAGGTGCACACATTGAATTTTATAAATATAATGTTTATATATATGTGAATATAACTATAGGCTGCAGCCTATTGTTAAGGTTTTAGGGCAAAACATTTTTCAGTGATTTCTGATAAAGCTAAAATTAGATAAGTGCATTTCTAGAATTTTTCCTTTTGATTAAATTTTATGTTTGATTTATGCTTTTGAAAAAATTTGGCATAATTATTTTTAGTGCTTAACTATTCTATACAGTTTTAAAACTTCCAATCATATTCATATCTATGAAAATACTTCTTGAAATTTTTAAAATAAATTCCAAAATAATATAAAATTTCAAATTTACAAAAAAGTAGAGAATAATTATGCTACTAAGATTTGATGTCTTTTTCAAATTACGAACATTTTAAACAAAACTATATAAAAATTAAATGGCATTCATATGAAAGAAAACAAATATAAAACATTAAAATACAGGGTGGTTATAATTAAAGTTGCCCTACTAAGACCTGTCTAGAGCCCGTTCTCGTGGATGTATTTTGGTGAAACTTGGTGTATATGTTACATGGACCATGGGGAAAAGGAAAGTGCAAAAAAAATATTTAGTTTAAACTTTTACCACTAGGTGAAAAAATGGTGCATGAAGAACAAGAAGCATAAAATGGAAACATGCAAAAAGGTTTTTATTCACAACATTTGTTCAATGTGCAATCCATTTGCATCAATTACATGTTCAAAACGCCTCACAATGCTGTAAGGTGTGTTGAATGTGTGACTGACATATATACCAAGTTTCATCAAAATACATCCATGAGAACGGGCTCTAGACAGGTCTGAGTAGGACAACTTTAATTATAACCACCTTTTATATAAACCATTTAAAATAATAAAAGTTATTTATTTAATTTAGACTTGAAATTGAATCAATTTATTTTAAAAACATAACCAAATGATCACCTTAAATTTGCTACTAGAGATAGAAGTCAGACACCATCTCTTAACTAAATTAATAATTTAGTAGCAAATTATATAGTATTAATCATTAAATTAGCAGAGTTATAGCCAAGTTATTTAAGGTAATTGTTTGGTTGTTTCTATATACATATTGGGCTTGTGATGTTTGATATAATTTATTTTAATTTTTAGCATTACAAAAATAACTGAATTTGTTACATAATTCTTAAATTACCTTTGAACAGTTTGAGGATTTATAGTAGGAGGAACACTTGGACGACCTGAATTAATTGGCGGTACTACAGTTTCTAAATAAAAAAAAAATTTTAAAAATTATAAATATAAAAAAATATTATGAATAATGAAATATTAAATTGGTAAATAATATAAAACTGCTTCAATTAAAATATGTGAGGTTTTTGTTCTATTGACATTCTCTTGGTCAGATCCAAATAGTGGTTGATGCAAACCTCAACTATGCTTTGATGCTCCTTAGTAAAAGCTCAATATTATGTAGATCTGGGATGAAGAATGGCAATGTTCATATGTTTATATCTTTTTGTGTACTTGTGTACAAACATTATCTCTTACCCGATTCTATTGTATTGAACAAATGCTAAGGAAGTATAACAATCCACAATTTATCCAACCAAAATTTTGATCCAGTAACTGACTACTAAACCTTTATTTCCTTTAGAATAACCTGTTTTTCCTGGAATTTTTACTTCTTCATAACCAGCAGGGAAAAGTTCTGATCCCTTTGCTTTTTAACCAAGTTCTTACTTTTCTTTCCTTTTGGGAAAAGAAAGAAGATGGTGAGAAAGTTATTACAAGAACATCCCTCGTTTGAGACATGTGTTCCTAGTTAATTGGATGATGGGGTAAATGTTGAATTTTGTAATTTCTTGAGTTTTAATAAGTGAAATAGTTTAATAAATATTTTATTTTAAAGGGCAGATTGGTATGGAATGTTATATTCTTGGGCAGACAGCAAGAAAAAGTCAAATTTAATGTTGTCGACATTCGAACCAGGTGAGACTTTTATCACATATTGTTTCTGCTTTAATATTTTCTAGAAGAAAAATTTTTTCATTTTAAAATTTATTTTAAAGTTTCAGATAATGGCTGCTTTTAGTTTATTTTAGATCAGTGTTTCTCAAACTGGGTTTCATGAAAGAATGTAAGAGTGAGGTTAAAATGCATAATAGCAGAGAAAAACAATTAACATTCAACATTAATCATTTAACTGTAGATAGTACCTGAACAAATTCATCACTGCTTCATTAAAAAGCCTTTTAAATGATGAGTAATTGCTGCTGTTTTATTCTGTTTTTTTTAAAGATACCAGAAATTATAGTTCAACTGATGGGATGGGATATGAACATGTAGAGGTTCCTCGGTAGGTTCTATAATTTTCTTAAAAGACTGTGTGAGTTGATTGAGTGGATTGAGAAACACTGATTTAGATCTTAAGGTTTGCAAAGAAATAATGTAAAACTATATTAATTACAATATAAAAAATAAGTTTACAGTCCTTAATTTATCTATATAACATTTATATATAATTCTGTTATCTGTTTGTTAGATAAATAAATTCTACAATTAAAATGTTATTCAAAATTTATTTATGAGAAAGAGTGCNATTAGTTACAAACTTAATAATTTAATTAATATGCAGATTAATTGATAAGGTTTTCACTGCTATAAAATTAGTTTCAGATAAAGTAGAATAATTTACTACTTTTTTTATAACTAGTCACATTTGTTTTGAACCTAGTCACCATTTAGAGCAATATATTTTTCCAAACATTCAACCTAGTTTTGCATTTCTTGCATAAAAAATATTTTGATTTTTCCATGACCAATTCTATATTATAACATCTAATGAAAAACTAAGACCTTTCAACATCACCTTTAATTTTAGGAATAATTTGAAGTCTGATGGCACCAGTCTGGACTGAAAGGAAAAGATGGAACAAGCAAATATATAAATACTGGGCTGCAAATGTTCTCCACCTCAAATTACTAGTGGCTTGCCCTTGTACTGTACATAATACTTTTCCTTTAACAATAGAGTCGTACTGGTCATATATTAACTGCTTTCAGGGGAAAAGCATTTTAAATAGAAATAACATTACTTCCAGCTTGCATTGGAAGTTCATATATAGTTAATCGGGGCCTCTTGTCCCTAAGGTTTCCACATCTGGTCTTGGATTTCATCTATCTAACTCTGTTCTCGAAATTAAAGAAAGACAGATGGATATAGATGGATGACAGTGGAAAAATATTGGTCTGCAATTTCAAATTGCAGACCAATATCCTGTAACTTTAAGTTTTTAAGTATTTTTTCTGTTTCCTTACTGCAATGTGGCCTTGTGTTAGCATGGTACAAGAAAAAATTCATTTTGGTCTTACTCTGAAAAATACTTATCTTGTCTGATCTGGAGGTTCCCACTGAACTGAAATAATTTGTTTTTTCATTATACACAATCTTTCAATGCTAAAAATTCAATCAGTGATTGCTATTTTGTATGAAATGAATCAGACAAGTTCATGTTTAACATTTTATGAACTAGAAAGCTGAATATGCCACTTTGAAAAAGCCACACATGCCAGTCAAGATATATATTGATTTCTGTATGTTTAACTATATGCAGAAAATTTCCTTGCCTCAGATTATCAGCTCATTACTAACTAGCAAGTGATGTGTGGTATGTATATTTGTATAACTCTAACAGTGATTATCATATTATCATGTCATTTTTTATTTTTGTAAAAAAGACTTTTGTGTTAGTTACAGCTTTAAGATGACATTTTTTGTTGATTTGTGACCCCTATGAATGTGGGCCCAAGAAATACACCTCATATACCCATCCAATAATTCACCACTGGATCAACTGATCAGAAGCAAACTCAATCTATAAAAAGTTTATAGTCAAAGGATTAAATTTGAATTGACTGTTTGATGCAACACAAGAAACAGGCTTTGCATCTACTCATGGCTACTACATGATAATGATTAAGTGTTTCTATCTCCAAACTTCATGGTATGCTATGATAGGAGATCTTATTTATCATTCATCATAAATGAAAAGTTTTATACTATAATAAGTAATTATATTTATTATTATTATTTAATTGCACATGTCATCCCTACAAGAATGGTTTTTATTTTTTAAGTTAATATATCATTTAATTCATGCAAATGCTAATTATCATATTAATTAAATACATTGCTACATATTAATTTTAATAAAAATATTTACTTGGTGTAGTTGTAACTCCTTCATATCCAGGTATATTTTCCATTTTATATAGAGAAGATGCTGATGGTTGAACAATTTCTGTAAAATAATTTTTAAGTATCATTTAAATCATTGAATGTTTTTCTAAATATGAAAGAAACAGACTGAAATATAGAAATTAGTATTTTTATTTGCAAAAATATTTTTCAAACCATTGAGCCAAATCATGAATTTAAAGTTTCAGCTTTGAGTTAGAAACATCAATATATTTAAATTATAAGATTTGACTGAATTGCTTTAATTATTTACAGTAGATCCCCCTATAAAACCGTTTCCTATAGTTATGATTCCTATAAAAATTGTGGCAGTATCCGTAAATAACGGTAAAAATAACTCCTATAATACGTAAAACGTCATCGGGCAGCCGAACTACTTTCCCGCCGTCCGTAGCGCCACGCTACGGACGTTTAGGCGGATAAATTGAGTTTAGTATCGTCTGTTCATATAATTATATATAAATTAGGTACTGTACATATAATTATATATTAATTATATATAAATTAGGTACTGTATATATAATTATATATTAACTTAATTTATTGTAACTTTATTATAATTAAATATATATTTTTCGCCGTCTAGCGTCACGCTACGGCGAGTTAGGCGACCTATCGTCTGTCCAGTACTGTAATTTTATACATTTCTTGTGAAAGAAACATTTCTTATTTAACGGCCATAAAAATTATTTATATTAAGGATGTCTCCAAAGGTCAACGAAGTTTTCGCAGAAAAATAATATCAGAAATCGCGGCCGCAATTTGATGCGCTGTTCCGCGACGAAACCAAGCTTTAGCAACGAGCGTAGTCAAAGGGTACACACTCGGTAAGTAATCCTACAATTTTTTGTTTATAACGTAGTTTATACGGATTATTTTAAAAAAAATATACGTATTTTGGAAATGTTGAGTCGAATTAGTCTAGAATCGATTAATTTTATGAAAGAAAACCTTTCAAACAGCCGTAGTCCGTAAACTATGATTCCTACAAAATTGATTCATAAAGAACGGAACGTATCTACCGTCTTATAGGGGGATCTACTGTAATTAGTAATTAATATTTAAATAGTTAAACACAGGTAAAATTATCAAATTACACAAGGACTCTTAACAGGGAAGCTGTGCCAGCCCTGTTAAGAGTCAGGACTGATGACAGGGAAGCTGTGCCAGCCCTGGATAGAATCATTGGAAGCGTTATACAATATTTTGGATAAGAATAAGAACCAAAGTAAACTAAGGATAAATGAGAGAGAATAAGTCTTTTTGTTGATTAAGTATTTTTAGACTTATACAAGTAACCAATTTCTATTTGTAAAATATTTTTTCCTCATCACTCTATTCTACAGTGGCATGTGGTGACATTTGATGAGAGGGAAGCTGTGCCGGCCCTGGATAGAATCATTGGAAGCGTTATACAATATTTTGGAGAGTAGCATCCACCAGTTAAACTGCGAGGTTGGTGCTCTGTGCGAATGCATATAATCTGGCTGCTTTACAGGATTCAAATATTTTTGCCGTGGAAGCTGTCCCTTATTCGACAATTTGGTGTTTCCGTTGGGAATATGCATATACCAATTTATATTCAAATATACAATAGCAATCTTATCATTGTTATCCACATATATAGAAATTTGTAACAAGATACACAATGCAGTTATAATAAAATATTAAGTAATTCAAAGTACGTTAAAATATGAAAATAATCGCATTGATAAGTATTTATATTTTAGAAAATACAAGGCAAGCGATGCTTCCACAGCTTCTATGGACGGCACGCCACTGCTATTCTATCAACCATTTTTAAATCCATTCTCATTTAAGTTAAGATATATATGTTATGGCCAAAGCCCAAATTTTGGCCAGTTCCCAAATTGGCAGAGAGATATGGCCAAGGTCCGATGTACTTGAAATGACTTGAAGTGGACTTGCTTAAAGAGGCCCTCTTAGTGCCGACATGGTGAAAAGAGTTTTAAAAAAATCTTGTTTAAATTACAACATTAAAACATAGTCTCAGACTAGTATTAGTCTATAGACTGTTTGTAATAAAGTTTTAGTTTTCTGACAGGTTTTATAACGCCATTATGGAACTTATGAAACAGAACAGAGATTTATTAAATAGAATAAATATTTGTGCATGGAAGACATACTTTAAAATATAAAATAAAATACAGTAATTGGGCCCACCAGTGGCCAAGCGGTTCTGTCCCCTGAACACTGGGAGTTCGGTTGTGGGTTCGCACCTTGCTTGGACGGGCTGGCCATGTGGAGTTTTCTGGGTTTTCTCCACATCTGTAACACAGAATAAGGATCAATTAATCTTAAAAGACCTCCCAGATGGCATTATTCTCTGCATTACTACCATCATAAATGCATACAACTACTATTACATGACAATTATGTCACACTTTATCATGGGGCGATATAGCCTAGAACTCATGCGAACTAGCTACTACAAGACTACAGTAATTGAAATTAATAATTCATAATAATTGTGTGGAATCTGTGAAGCGCCCCCATATTATGCTTCTGACACCACTGTGTATTCTGGCAAACACAGAAACCTTCGATTGTGCTTTCCGCGCATTTGTGGAACGCGCGCATGCCGCTACGTATGGGAATAAATGTGGGCAGATGGAGGAGGGAAAGTTAGAGAGACAGGGAGATCAGGAAATAACACACTACACAATGCATTTAAACATAAAATACAGTAATACTCCGACTTACGCGAACCCGGAGTTACAAACCTCGTCGATTCGTCTTTTGTTTGAGCGCCACGCAACCCTTGATTACTCACTCCCCACACTATCCGAACATGTAAGCTGAACAGCTTACATGTTCGGATGTGTCGCGCGGAATCCACACATAGCTACAATTTATTTTGTGTTATTTATTTCTGTGTTTGTTATATCTACAGAGACTCGAGAGACTCTACTATATCATCTAAACGAAGTAGAACTAATTCTTCTGCATCAAACAAGAAAAGAAAAACTTTATCTTTGCAATGTAAAGTTAACATTGGATACGTTCGTAAAGTCGAACGAGTTAAACGAGAATGACGTCATCGTTATTCCTATTTCGTTAGACTTTTCGAACGATTCGTTACTAACGCGTTTAACTCGTTTGACTTTACGAACGTACCCATTATTAAAGACTTCGATACAAAAATGAAAATTTGTGAATTGGCAAAGAAGTTTGATCCACCGGAATTGTCGGTCAGAACAATTATAAAAGGCAAAGAAAAAATTCTCGAAGCTGTGAAAAATGCTCAATCTTTAAATTCAAGCGTCATTCGTAAACGTCACAGTATTATCGCCAGTGGCGTACCGTAGGTGTCAGCCGCCCAGGGCGGAGGAAAATCTCGGCCCCCCTTATTTAGGTATTTCAATTTAAAAGACCAAAATTAAGTTTTGTCACAGAACAAGCAATGAAAAATTCGGTGGTAGTGCAGCGACTTGTTTAAAATAGTTCTATTGGATATTAGTGGTGTATATGAACGCGAATGAATCGTACAAGCAAAAAAAAAGGTCAACAGGTTTCGAAGGAACTCCTCGGATGAAAAAGTTACTAGTTCACCCGGCGAGCCGATTTCCGGACTGTCCGGACGATAGCACTATCGTAGGCGCGATGCGAGTATAGATTAGGATGTTTCAAATTTTTACAAATTATTATTATTGTTTGTTGTGAAATTTTGCCGCCCCTGCCGCCCCCACTACGGTAGGCCACTGATTATCGCTGAGATGGAAACAATCCCCCCGTTTCTTTATGCAGAGCTCGAGAAGCGCTTTACAGCGAACACACTGAAATTGGTTTTTAATTGGCCAACACTGCTCGTGACGTCATTTCGCTACACTCTCGCTGCATAAAGAAACGTGGAGAATGTTAAAATTATGGCGTAATAATCAAGTAAATGTGAAAAATTGTAAAATAATATAGGCCTCCTAATTTGTTATACATATGTATTATCTAAGATTTTATTAAACATTTTTTTCTAAATTATTGTTTTCTTTAGTCTCCGGCCCCAATTAAAAATTATTTGTATGTATTTATATGCGAAATTATACCCCGACTTACGCGAATTCGACTTACGCGGTTATCACTCGGTCCCACCTATCACGTAAGTTCGGGGTATTACTGTAATGACAATTTATTTGTAAAGATCATCGCTAATTTACAAGGGTAACATAAATGGAAGAATCAATTCTATAAGCGCGTCGAACAGAGAGAGAGAGAGAGAGAGAGTTTACAAGTCGGATGCGTGTCAGTAAATACGTGAATCGGTGAGAATCGGTTTTGTACGTCCCGGAGGGAAGGAAGACGTGTCTTCTGCTGGTTATGGTGGTTTTGAATCCAACAAGCATTCAATCCCAATATTCAAAATGAATTTCAATTGATTGTTCATTAGCTCGGACTGGCTAAGGTCCGGTCAACGACCTCCTTAGAAGATCGGCGGTGGAGCACAGCAGGGATAAGCATGCAAATTTTGACAGGAGGACTCTCTGTCGTCATCAATTCTTTTTCCTTTTATTCGGGGTGAGCCCGGTCATTCTATTGCCCATTTTCGGGGAAGTTGCCGATTGCTCCAATATGCGATTTTGTCTAATTTCCCTCGGTGAGTAATTATTGTGTCACTCAAGGAGGAAGTACTGTACTATCCGGTGGAAAAAGTTTATAAAGTTCCTTGATTGTATCTATGACATAGAATTTTTCAAGAATTTGATCGTTCATGCGTTTTACATATTGGCAAAATAATGATTAAAATATACTTTGACAGAAATTAAAAAGATTTCTATTTACATTTGTATTTGGTATTACGAAGTATTTTATTGTATTTTGTACAGTACTTTGTATTTGTATTTTGTATTATTACATTAAATTTGTATTATGAAGAAATAAAATATATCATAAAAATAGAAATTAATATAAAAAATACACCTAATTATAAAAGTTTAATTGTCAATTAAAAATTTTTTTTAATAAATAACATTAGTATATCAATTTTTCTATCAAAAACGAATATCAAATAATAAAAAAATTGTATGTAAAGTCTGTAAAGAAAATCAATTTTTTTAAACTTCACCTAATAGTTTTCTTGACTGGAGTCGCTATATACAGTTTAGGTGCAATTAGGTTAGGAAAATTCTATATTTTGGCCGAAAGAGGGCGATTGGCATAGAGTTCGTTAACACGTGATTATCTTCTATAAGAGGAATTTCGACTAATTGTATACACGAGCGAAAAGAAATAACTGCAACTTTCGAAGATCATTTCGTTCAAAAAATACATGTAATCGTAACATTACACACCTCAATGTATAAAAAATACCAAAATTAACAATAATTATCAAAAATTGAACAGTTTGGAAAAGTAAATGTCGATTTTAAAGGGGTCCAATAAATGATAGAGCACCCTTTCTACAATTATTGAATAAACTCGTAGGAAATCAAATATAAAACTTACATAATGTATGACGATCGACTTAACACGATGACGGAGACGTAGTCAACAGGTTTCAATAAAACAGAACTTTTGCCAAAACTACTACGCTGATTTCCCGGAATTGTTTGTGCTATTCTGACTCCGCCCACTTCTACAATTCTAAACCGGCACGGGAAGAATTGCATGACAGTTTATTGGCTGGATTAAATTCTTGGCTCCTCCTACTAATTAGAGGTAGGTTAAGTAGAGAAGAACGAGTTTTCATATTTTTCTTAGTAACGAGGAACGGAAAAATACAGTAAAAAGTTTATTTTTTTCCCCTTATACGCTTACATATTTCATACACAGCGTGTAATATTTAGTTCTCGTCAGTTATTGCAAGTTATTTCGCAACGCGCCCATGTGTTTTCGTTGTGTTTATTGTTCCAACATTTGATTCTCGATACAGATAAAATTATACCTTGATTATATACGAAAGAACAATATATATATATTACTATATTTACACTTAATTAAACCATTTTAATGTACGATAATTTGAAAGAAATAAAATGATAAAAATTGAGTGCAATCTCCAGCTTATAAAAAACAAAAACCTGTACATTTATTTAAGAAAAGTTCATAAAAAAATCTGATAAAACAATCCAGTTTTTAAGAAAAATAAATAATTATAATAAAATTTATGATATATGCGATAAAAGAGAAAATATAAAAGAGATTTTTTAAAAAGAGAGCAATATTATAAGTAGAAAATTAAGAACTTCGAAATGTATTGTAACTATAACAATACATTTCTTTTTCGTGACTTATTAAAGGCTCGTCTTATATCTGAACACAAATAACAACTGGACTTTACAGAAATATCAATTTACCTCTGAAAATGGTAAGTAATTTTTAATTAAATGTAGGGCTATTATTTTTTTTTATTACGAATATATTCATTTTAAATTAATAGACTATTATTTTACTTCACAATATAGGCATATGCAAACCTTTGATTTCTTTTGGTGAAGTATATTATAAATTCTCACATTATATATTGTTCTCAATCCAGCTAATTGAAACAATGTTAAATTTCCTTCGATTTAATGATTTATTTATTTATTTTTTTAACTTGAATTTCCCTTGATTTTAACTTTTATTCTGTTGGTTGTCAGAAAAATAAATTAATGATGTCCATATAGGACTAGATTATTGTATTGTATTTATTACTATATGTAATTGTGTTATTGTACAGATTGTTTTGTTTTATAATTAATGTATTTAATAAATTTTGTATTTCTTTAGTAATCATGTAATATTTTCGATATTAAATATTTTATTATTATTAGTTATTAAAAATTAACTTACATTTATTATGATACAGTGAATAAATTTTTTTGTTTATTAAAATAACTTTAGAATTATGAATTTCCAGAAAAATTATTTTCTATCAATTTATCATTACTTTGATACATGAAATTAGGATAAACTCATATTTAAAATTTTTTATTTATAAAAAATACATTTCGGTGTGAATCTGACGACAAGTCAAATTTCCTTTGCTTATCGATGACACAAATCACTAGAAAACAAAGTCACACGATGTACTGTACTTCCCAGACCTGGGCCCTTAGTCTCGAGTTTTTCGTGTTGTACTCGAACTGACGTCATCGAACTCACTCGTGTTACTATGACTCACATAATCGGTAGTCTCGAGTTAGACCCTTCGAGTGAACTCGAAAGGCGAGCGGAAGTAGCTCATATTCACTTGTTTACGTTTGTCGATAAGCATGATGGGATTATTTACAATGCATCTGGGTTTGCGACTATAATGATTCGACCAATCAACTTAACTGTAACAAGTTGTAAACAAATCAACGCGAATTAGTTTACACGTGCTACAGTTAAAAGTTGTCTTGTGGCAATATAGTACGCAGAAACAAAATGAAAACCTCGAATGTTTTATTTTAAAAAATAAGCGAAGAACAAAAAGAAATATTAGTAACATATATAGAAAATAATAAGAAAATGAACAGCGGAAAATTCGACAACGAATTTACAAGAAAAAGACAATTCGCTTTGTGGAGAGAATTACTTGAAAAATTAATTGCGTGTGTTGAACCTAAAAAATCCGTTATGTAATGGAAAATGTATTTAAACTTAATCCTTTCTTCATATAGTTTTCTTCCTTGATCTATTTCTTAAATTGTTTTGTCTATTAAGATTATTTATTAATCAGAACTTAACACTTCTGATTAATAAATAATCTTAATGTAGTGTCTATGCTTTTAATAATCTATACATATAATTTACTATCATTTT